TGTGAGTCAGGGCCAACTTGACGGCACATGACAACAACAACAACATGTTATAATCTTAGGAAATACTTTAAGAGGAATTTTCTTGTGTAGAGGGATAGGTGCTATCAGTATTTAGTTGAACAAATTTAACTAGAGAATGTCCTAAATATCAGGGCTCCTCAAAGGTTTGTATTCAGTACAAATAACATGCGTCAGACTTGTTTGCTTAAAATGCCGTAAAATGAGCAGATTGATGAAAATTAATAATCCATTTGTCATGAATATTCTCTTAAGGACTCTTATTGGAGTGATAGAAATTAAAGATTACACTTACACTTTACAAATGCTGTGATGTACTATCCGATCACATTTATTTTTTGAAATGCAGATTTGAAATAGTTGGCTATGGATGTTCAACGTGTGTGGGAAATACAGCACCCTTATCAGAAGCAGTTTTAAATGCGGTAAAACAGGTAAAATGATTAGCTCAGCAAGACACATCCAAGTGGGTTTTCTTAACTATATATTGCTATACAGAAAACATATATTGATGTATTTGTATTTCTGTAGACCTTTTACCTCTTGGGAAGAGTAACCTGTGAATCATAAATTGATTAAAAGAATCATATCTAGATCCTTGTAACAGTTATTTAATAGTATAAACATGTAACTTTTTAGATAGTTCAATACTTAATAATTAACAGTATTTTTTTTTATTGCCTTGCCTTCAGAACTATAATTGAAAATCTTGATATATGATTATCCAAGTTTGTACCATCTCTTGAATTAATAACACACGTTTGTATGCTTTTTTCCCCTCCAGGGTGATTTGGTTACTTGTGGAGTTTTATCTGGAAACAAAAATTTTGAAGGTCGTCTTTGTGACTGTGTTCGTGCCAATTACCTTGCCTCTCCACCATTAGTGGTAGCTTATGCCATAGCAGGCACAGTGGATATAGATTTCCACACAGAACCGTTAGGTATCTTTTCCTTCATATATATATATATATGTATGTATGTATGTATGTATGTATGCCTATGTCTCCCCCTATTTTTCCGCCAAAGTTGTATTTTTTTAAATGCTTCTTAGACCATCCATTCTTTTAAGTACTTCAGGAAAACTTACCATAATACATAATGTCATTCATTTCTGTGTTGATGTGAAGAATATAAACTGTTCAAGTAATTAGTTCTTCTAGCTGCTTACACCTAAATCACCTTGTTTTTGAATGATTTGTGTCTTTGAGAAGATGTAAACCTTTTGAGGGAGTTATTTTTAATACTGAATGTCATGTTGAAATCTTAACCAGGTATTGACCATACTGGCAAAAATATTTACCTTCTTGATATTTGGCCTAGTCAAGAAGAAGTCCATCAGGTGGAAGAAGAACATGTGATATTATCCATGTTTAAAGCATTGAAAGAGAAAATCGAGGTAAGAGTCTCACATGTTTTTTCCAATAGTTTAATAAAGTATTACTCCTTTATTTCATGTATCTTGCTTTCTGAATGGAATAAAAATACTGAATTCAAAGGAAATATAATTTTGAATACATATTTTTTAATACGTAACAGTCATTTTGTACCTGAACTCTCTAATAACTAAGAGAATGGCTTAGGTTGTTAGAATGTAATTTTATTTACTTATAAGAAATCTATGGCAAGCACTGATACTTGGCATTTTGAAGATGGGCACATTTCATAGAAAACTCCCCGTTTGGTACTCCCATTTAGGTGGTTAAAAATTCCAAAGAAATAGCAATAAACAATGAAATCTCCCTCCCACCCATTCCTTGGCCATCCACTTCTTACCTCCCTAGAGGCAATTAGTGATGTCACTTTCTCATACATCTTTCCAGAGGTATTTTATAAACATACAAGCATACACAGACATACACTACGTACATCCTTTTAGTTTAATAAAAGAATATATAAATATGGGGACATAAAATATTTATTCTCTTAACAAATATATATTAAGTCACTAGTATGTGCCAGACAGGAGTCCTGGTGGCACAATGGTAATAGTGCTCAGCTGTAAACCAAAAAGATCAGTGGTTTGAACCCACCCACCAGCCGCTTCACAGGAAAAAGATGTGGCAGGCTGCTTTCTTGTAAATATTTATGGCCTTGAAAACCTTAGTGGTCAGTTCTGCTCTGTCCTATAGGGTTGCTATAAGTCAGAATCAACTTGATGACAATGGATTTGGTTTTTTGGTATGTTCCGGGCACTATCCTAGATATTTAGGATACATCATTGAACAGAATTGTCTTGTGGAGAAGCTATGAACTAAAAACAGTATAATTAGGTAAATTATGCAGTGTGTTAAAAAGTGATAGGTGCTATATGGGAAGGGGGGGAAAAAGACCAGCAGGGTAAAGAGAACCAAGAGTGCAAAATTTGGGGAGGAGATTGCAAGTTTTTATAGATTAGATGACGGTGGACCTCACTGAAAAGTGACATTTGAGCCGAGTATTGAAGGAGGTAAAAGACACTGATGACAAGGTCTTTTAGGATCACAGTGGAGATAGAAAGAAATAGTGCAATTTTGGATAAAGTTTGAAAACAGTAGGCAGTGATACAGGACAAATATATTGACAAAAGAGAGGTACTTAAAGTCTAATATAATCATTTCCTTGTTTCCAGTGAGGCATTGGCATTCTTGTTCACATTTCTTAATTTAATACTAGCTTTTAAATCCAAAGAATTGTTAAACCAAATCACATGTATTACCCTCCAAGAGCATGAGGATCTTTTTTATTGAGATCAGGAGTTTTTCTCCATGATAAGATTCTTAAAGATTAACACTGTACTATACCACATGCTTAATCTCTGTTTAGCAACTTACATAGATTTTTCTAAATCTTTTAGCTTCTTTTGGACTCGAAAGTCCTTAACGTTTAGTTGGTATTGAGACTTAACTCGTAGGGTATTCCTGAAGAACTGGTGTGCTGGAAGTTGATGAGCAAATCTTTATTCATTCTGTTAAAAAACGCCATGTTATAGATTGCACTATGTTAGAGTTCAATCTAAATGGACAAGTCTTTTTAAAAATCCCTTTCTAACCTAGTTCTCTTATTCCCTTGATCATTTTCATAAGCCTCTTTTTCTGACTCCATTTTATCTTTCATTTGGTTCATCAATCAAAACCATATTCACAGAAGGGAAATAAATGGTGGAATTCCTTAGAAGCACCAGATTCAGTTTTGTTTCCGTGGGATTTAAAGTCTACTTATATTAGATGTCCTTCATTTTTTGATAAACTTGTAAGTACTTCTTTACTACTTATCTTTTAAAGATTGTTATGAACTGGAAAAAAAAATCCTTGTAAAGAAATGCCTTGAACTTCTACCTTATAGACCAAAGAGCCAGTTGCACTTCAGCCTATTGAAAATGCCCATGTCTTATTATATTTGGGAGATTCTGTCACGACAGATCATATATCACCTGCTGGAAGCATCGCTAGGAGTAGTGCTGCTGCTAAGTATTTGACAAACAGAGGGTATGTACATGGTTTTAGGGTATTTTTAAGGCTATTTCTGTCTCACTGATTAAGAGGCTTTTACTGGTCATGTAGAATGATACAATGGGAAAGCAGTCAGCACAATCCAGATAATAGAAACCATGGGACAGATAGCCCAGTTTCTTCAGATAAAGTACCAAGGGGAAGGAAAGAGGGAGAAGGAACATGTAGATTAAAAGAGACGAGATATATGAGACAAATGAATTTATTGAATGTAATTTTAATTCTGATTTGAGCAAACCAACTGTAAAAGAATAATAATAATAATAATGTGTGGGAGAATCAAAGAAATTACTGTCTTTTATATTTAATTGTATAGTTAAAATGATAGGATATCTGAGTTTTGCTTCAAAATCACCTAATAGGTGGTGGTTATAGAAGAAACAAGAGTCCATGAGTTGATTATAACTGGGTGACACATGGGCATTTGCTGTTCTCTCTACTTCTGTACATGCTTAAAGTTTTTCATAATGAAAACCATTTTGGGGTAAGTTTTGCAACTCAATAACGTGTGGTTATTTTCCTTCCGGAGTGAAACTTTCATAACTTACTTTCAGCCTTACCCCTCGTGAATTCAACTCTTACGGAGCCCGAAGAGGTAATGATGCTGTGATGACAAGAGGCACTTTTGCAAATATCAAGCTTTTTAATAAGTTTATTGGAAAACCAGCCCCTAAAACAATTCATTTCCCATCAGGACAGACGGTAAGGACACAGACAAAAATGCTTAAGCACTTGCTAACTAGATCACAATTTATATTAATGACTTTTGTATTTGCTTTATTCTACAGCTAGATTTTTTTATTTTGTTTTGTTTATTGTGATTTAGGTGAAAATTTACAAAGCAAATTCACTTTTCATACAGCATTTCACATACATTTTGTATCATGTCATTAACCATAATTTACCACAATGCAACAGCTCCCCTCTCACTTCATCCTGACAGTACCTCTTCCCTGTGTCCGTCCCTCCATGCATCCCTGCCCCCCGTGCTGTCTCCCTATGCATAAACACCCCTTCTTTCTCCCATGATTGTTCTCTCCAAGGAATGTATTTACCTCAGGTACATGTTCAACTCCTGTGCCTATCTTTTGCTTGGCTGGAAGCCACATATGTGGGTTCAATTCCAGACCTAAAGGTCAGCTAGGGGCCATAGTTTCAGTGGTTCCACCAGGCTCTGTCAGACCAGCAAACCTGGTCCCCTTTTTTTTTCCAAATGATTTTTAGTTTTGTTCCACATTGTTCTCCCTCTCTATCCAGGATCTCCTATATAGATCCCCCTCCAAGTGGTTGACATTGGCAGCCAGGCACCATCTAGTTCTTCTGGTCTCATAGTCATATAGGCTGCAGATCACATGGTATATACTGTCACTAGGACTAATTCGTTCCATGATCTTTGGTTTTCTTCATTCTTCTTTGCTCTGGACAAGGAGAGACCCATCATTGCATCTAGATGGCTGCTTGCAAGCTTTTAAGATCCCAGTCACTACTCGCCAAACTAGGAGGTGGGACAGCATTTTGGGTAGTATGCTATGCTAATTGAGCTTGATGTTCCCTGTGACTATGGTCCCAAGCCCACAGGTTCAACTTCTCAGACCCTCTGGGTAGCTGGCTATGACCAAGAAGTGACTACAACCTTGTCCCTTGTCAGCTCTACTATACACCTGGGAATTCAGATCATACAAATAAACTTACAGGACCATTGTCTGCCAACCCTGTACATGGACTTGGGTACACTTCCCACTTTATAGACATACCTGCTAGTTCAGCCTATCCACCCGTATACCCATGTTTGCATAGACATACCTACTAGTTCAGCCTATCCACCCATATACCCATGTTTGCCTTCACTGACAATGCAGTACTGTATGTGCAAAAGGGTTCATCTTGGTTGTCTGTACCTCCCATGTACCTCTCTATGTCTTCCTCTTCCTCTTCCTCAGTGCTACCATGTTGATCACTCACATTTGGTACATTGCCCTTCTCTTCACCCAAATCAATACATATCTCTACCTGTCTAACAGTGTTCCCTACCCTACCCTCCCACCCCTTATAACCAACAAAGAAAAATTCCTCCCACAGATAAACCTTTCCTTGATTTTTACAATAACGGACTAATACAATATTTGTCCTTCTAATCTACAGCTAGATGTTTTTGAGGCTGCAGAACTGTACCAGAAAGAAGGTATCCCACTGATTATTTTAGCAGGAAAGAAATATGGTTCAGGAAATTCAAGAGACTGGGCTGCCAAAGGACCGTACTTGCTGGTATTAATTCTTAATATTTATCTTCTTACACTTAAAAGAGTTTTAATTATTCCCTTTTGTAATAACATCCTGTCAGAGTTTATTTAGTTTACGTGAGTTTTTTTAATGCTTATTTGGACCTCATTTTTGTGTTTAAATGATCTTATGTAGTATTTTACACCCATCTAGTTTCATTTTAATACTTTGAATTTGAAGAAACCTGTGTTAGTCATTTTTATTTGAGGAAATCTGTATAGGAGAAAGGACAGTCTTGGACTACTACTTTATAATTATTTGTACCCATTTGTAGATTGACTTGCCTCGTATTCATTTAATTTTCTTGGATTTGTGCCACTGAGGTTATTAAATAGAGGTTGTGGGCTTTTTTTTTTTTTTTTTCCCCCAAATGGGGGATTGTGGTGGCTTGTTCTCTGCCAGGAAGACATATTTCCTGAAACTCTTTGCTGAAGAGGAACTAGACAATCTGCTGGAGAGGAATAGTCATGTGACATGTACTTTATGCCATTTCATACCCACAAGTGCTTCTCTTTGCTATTTCAGCTGTAAGAGGACTGGCAAAAATCATAGTCCTCATAGTCTATCATGTAAATTTAACTCTTTTTTAAGTCTTTAAACTGCTCTCCCCTAAAATATAAGCGTTTTTAGAAGTTATAAGGAATAAGCCAATATCTCTCATTTTTCACAGATGCTAATTTTAGGTATTGTATGAATATCAATTATGTGTATTGTTGTTGTTTTTGTTATGTGCCGTCAAGTCAGACCTGACTCATAGCGACCCCTCCTTGGGTTTCTGAGGCGGTATCACTATGGAAGTAGATTGCCCAGCCTTCCTTCCTAGGAGTGGCTGGTGGGTTTGAACTGCCAGCCTTCTGGTTAGCAGTCAACTGCCTTAGGCACTACGCTACCAGAGCACCTAATTATATGTATAGGTTTCCTTTTTTTCTTCCTCTAAAATTTATTTTAGTATTTCTCTTATATACACACCCACTTCTCACTTTTTGACATGGTTACACACCAAAGACCAGGTCATTACTAGAAACTTGGTGTTATGAGAGTTGGGACCGTGCCCCATGTTTGGCACTGGAGTTCCCTACAACTCCTTCAGTCACTGCCCCCATCTCAGGATACACATAGTGCATTGGCCCCCCCCCCGCTTCTCCACCATGCCTTCCTCACCACAGCAGAACCTACAGGGATTGGGGGTTGGTGCTTGGGTATTGCCTACCTGCTCTAGGTGGGGACCTCACCCGTCGTCCATCAGCCTCAGTCCTGAGGCCCCCACATGGCCCTCTTCACCTTCCTCCCCTTCCCTTCTTGCCTACCGACCTCTCTGCACCTTCAGACCCTCCTCCAGCCTCTCCCTGCTTGCCCCTAACCTCATGTCATTCTGCTGTAACCCTACACCCTCCATAGCCAGACCAAGATGTTGCAGACAAACAAGAGAAGGCATCCTGTGGTTGGTCAGCCACTCTCCCTTATGTGACACAGTCACTGCTGGGGCCTCTGGTATATCATTCAGGGTGGCTTGCAGAGGGTGCTCTGGGCCTGGCTGCTGCCCTGTGTGAAACCCAGACCATTAGAGGCACCGCCTAAGAATTTTTTCAGAGTTGTAAATGTGAAATGTCAGATGAGATAGTCAAAAACTGAAGAGTAGGTGAGTGTGTATATATGAAGCTTTCTGATATAACTGGTAATCCTTGGCTGTCCATTCAGTTAGACATTAAAAACCTGATCACAAGCTATGAGTGTGGACTGGATTTGTCAGTTAGTGAACCTTATTGTAAGCGGTTGAATGATAAGCCACCTTTTTCATTCAGAGAACCCTAAATGTTAGTTTGTATATTTTTTCTGAAGCTATTCAGTTTCTACAAAGGAGGAGACTTCAGTCTCTCCTGCTCTACAGAATCAAACTCACTACCATCGTGTCAAATATGACTCATAGCAACCTCCATTGTGTTTCTGAGGTGGCAAATCTTTATAGAAGTAGATTGCCCCATCTCCCTTCTGTGGAGTAGCTGGTATGTTTGAACCACCAACCCTCTGGTTAGTAGTCAGATGCATTAGGCACTGTGCATTAGGCATTAGGCATAACCACCAGAGTTCCAGTGTCCTGATAGTGGAGTGAATAATAGATGCTGGTAGCTTAAATGCTGAGTCAGGAAAGGAAAATGAGAATCTCCCCATTCAGGACACAGACTTCTAATTAATCCCCCATTTTTAATCTGGTATTCTCACCCTAGCTTTCCCTATCCCCTGTGCTCCTCAGTCTAAAGCATACATTCTCAAAGGAAGTGATAGAACTCTCAAAGGGTGAAAATTATTTGAGTGGTTAAAAAAATCCTACTTTAATACATGTAAAGCATAGGTATATATAAAGTACATAAATAGACAAGATGTATTTGTGGTGTTAAAATTGGGGGTGGGGTCATGATTAGGGGAGAAATTTCTAAAAAAGACTCTTTCAAACCAAACCAAACCCATTACCATTGAGTTGATTGCAACTCATAGCAACCCTGTAGAAGAGAGTAGAACTGCCCCATAGGGTTTCTAAGGCTGTAAATCTTTAGAGAAACAGATTGCCTCATTTTTCTCCCTCAGAGTGGCTGGGGGGTAAGAACTGCCAACTTTTTGGTTAATAGCTGAATGCCTTAACAACTACGGCGCCAAAGGTTTCATGTGGGGGTAATAATGAAAAGAGGTTAACACTGGTCTAGAACTTCTCTAATTACATTTTCTCCCAGAAATAAACCTCTAGTGTTCAGAAGTAGGAGGTCCCTGGGTGCCACAGAGTTTGTACTCTACTACTAACGTAAAGGTTGGCAGTTCACACCCACTCAGCAGTACCATGGAGGAAAGACCTGTTGATCTGCTTTCATTAAGATTATAGCCAAGAAGATCCCCTCTGGAAACTTATACTCTATAACACATGGGGACTTCATGAGTCTGAATTGTCTCAGCAGCAATGGATTTGTTTTTTTGTGTTTATTTTTGGTCTTCAGGATACTTAACTGAACCGGAGATCTTATCTGCTTCTTTTTATAGATTTCCAACCTGTACCCCCAAAGTTCTGAGAACTTCAGGCCTCTGAGACTCAAGCCTTTTTCTGTGTTCTGTGTTGTAAATTCATACCTTATTGTTAACAGTCTCTAATTTGAATTTACTTCTTTATAGTTTCAGCATTTTTCCTGCTAGATCATTTACCTATCTCTGTCTTCTAAGTGTTTAAAGAATTCTCTCATCCTATTCTCTTTATCCCTGTGGGTGTACCAAAAAACCAAACTCACTGCTGTTGAGTTGATTCCCACTCATGGCAACCCCCTTTAGGTTTCTAGGCTGTCAGTCTTTATGGAAGCATCTTTCACCTTTCTTCAGACTGATGGGTTTGAACCACTGACCTTTTGGTTAGCAGCCAGATGCCTTAACCACTGCACCACCAGAGCTCCTTCCCTGTGGTTGTACACTTGCTTTATTCCTTTATTTTAGTGGCATTTCAAGAGGGAGTGTATTAGATCTACCATGTTTAAACAAATCCTTCTATGCCCTATTTGAGGTCAGAAGAGCCACCCCGGTTTATAAAGCTCTTTCTATGTGGTAGGCACGAGGCTGTACGTAATGCTGGAGTAGCAGAAGGGAAACCAGACTAACTTAGGGAGCTACTTAAAAATACAGAAAAGTAATCCATAAAAGTTTCTGTTACTGTAACTGGTATCACTAAATTGTATACCTGAAAGATGTTGAATTGGCAAATGTTGTTTCTATGAATTTTTATAACAAGCTAAAAAGTGGGAAAAAAAAAAGTCTTCCATAAATACTTTGCTATAATATTGACTTTCAGTATAGGGTATTAGGTTAAAAGTGTAGAAAGTCCAAAAGCTGTTTCCCTCCCCCCCTTAAAGTGCTTAATAAAGCAATCTTAAGATGATTGAAAGAATAAAATACATATTTGTTAACAGGGTGTGAAAGCTGTTTTGGCTGAAAGTTATGAAAAAATTCACAAAGATCATTTGATTGGAATTGGCATAGCTCCACTTCAGTTCCTTCCAGGAGAAAATGCAGATTCCTTGGGCCTCTCTGGCAGAGAAACATATTCTTTAACATTTCCCGAAGAACTGTTTCCTGGAATTACGTTAAATATAAAGGTATCTGTGAAATTCTCAAATTTTGTACTATTTGTACTCATATTATGTACTGTTGACTCAAATATATAGTTGTAAATTCAGTAAGAAATAATTATTGTAAATTGCATAATTACATCAACTAGTAAACAGATTAAGATGGTCTTTTTCCTGCATACTAAAATCTGTGTTAATACAATTGATGTTCCCTGAGCAAAAGTAGAAAAAACTAGATTCTTCGTCCAAAAAAATAAAGACCTGTGGAAGGAGTTGTGAAGTCACAAGTTAAGAACTCTGGATGTTAAAAGGAAAAGCAGAATTGATTAGGTGTAAGTTGTAGCACAGTAGCGTATATTGCCTTGCAAAATAATGCATATACACACCCATTAGATTTATTGCTTATTTAATTAAAGGCTTATCAGAGGTAAGCCCTTCATAAAGGGAATCAATCTCTTCAGTGGAAAAAGAAAAAAATTGCATGCCTCTTTATGTACAATATATAGTGTAAGTTTGGTTATATTCCAGTTAAACTCCCTCAAGGACATGTTTATTCTATATCTATATGATTAGAAAACCTTTGTCTTTTCCTTTGTAGAAAGGTTCAGCATTCACACATACACACATACAGATGCACACCTATACTATTTAAGTCCATCTTGATTCTCTCCTCTGGCATTTTCTGGTGCCACACACTTGCCCTATCTCCCTTGGGCTTTTTCTTTTCAACAGTCATCAGTAAGTCCAGAGGGTGTCCTTCTTAAACATTGAGTTATTGTTATAATTAAAAACAATTTATTATATAATGTACATACATCTACTGCTAGAATCAATCATTTGGTTTAACTGCCTCATTCTGTAGATAACAAAACCAGAGAAGAGGATTACTTAAGGCTGTAGCAAGTAAGTAAAATAGACAGAACTGAACTGTATGACTCTTGGCATTTGAAGTCAGTGTTCGTTCTTCTATATCATGCTGCTTTCATCACATAGGATTTGTTAAGTATTCATATATGGTACTAGAGTTTCATCTAGGTAGATGGATATAGTAGTCCCTATTTAAAATTTGCATAAGAGAATCTTCCCAGTCACCGTCAATTTTAATTACACTTTCCTAAGTAGTGGAGCTGATTTCTCGTAATGTCCTGAATGCTGTGGAATTTTCAGTTAGATGGGTCTCTTGTCAGGGTTAGGAGAGTTATTGAGAAATAAGATGTCCTACAAATCAAGTGAGAGGAGTTTAGAGTAGGTATTCGTATCAGTAGGACTTTTGTAAGGCTGTACTGAATGCAGTGTGAGTAAAGAGCGACCCCTCCTTGGGTTTCTGAGGCGGTACCACTACAGAAATAGATTGCCCAACCTTCCTTCTGAGGAGTGGCTGGTGGGTGTGAACTGCCAGCCTTCTAGTTAGCAGTCAAATGCCTTAGGCACTACGTCACCAGAGCTCCTAACGAGTTGTCTTATGTTGGTTAAGTTTGGAAAAACTGAAGCACTGGACAGTTACTGACTTAGAACTCCACGGGGCCAAATGACAGCGTCAAGCTTGACTTTCAGTTGCATGTGTCAGCTTCTTTTCCTTGTTGCAGGTCTTCTTGTCCTGGTCTGATTTTAATTTAGGCATATATACTATTTCAAAGAAAAGGCAGAATTGAGCATTCAGGGTTAGGGTAGACTTTACAACCAAGAAGAAAAAGGATGAAAAGAAAAAGAAGAAAAAGGAAGAGTAGCAGATGTTGTGTGCAAATGAATACTTAATGAATATGACTTATGATTTCTCCAATTAATAAATGGAAATCTAAGCCCTTTGATTTCGTGTTCTAGGTTATAGAATACTTATCATGTAAAATACCTGTTTTTCTACTTCATAATGAAGTGCTAGGTCAGATATCTTGGGGCCAGGGGTGTTCTTTTGGTTTCTTTTTTCCCCAAGGAAAAGGATTCAGGCAATTGGAATACAGGGTATTTCCATCTTTTCAAAAGTTCACTTTATGCCGCTTGGCTTTTACAAAAGACTTTTACATTGGTACCTGTTCTCACTGACCAAAAAAGTTCAAAGAGGATTTTTACCTTTACAATAAACGCAAAACTAGTATTCAGCATTTGTTTTACAGCAGTCCGCTAGTTAAAGAGGCAGTGTGGTGAGAGTGATGGCACCAAGCTTCTTCCTTGGGAACTAAACTACATTCAGCATTAAGCTGCCATAGCTTTAAACTATGTCTGTGAACACATGTTACTGTTATTTTCGGTTTTATGTGTTACTTGGTATGATTTGGTAGGTTTTTTTTAATCTGGAAACGTGCAAAAGTTTTTTCCCATATAAATGAATGGTAATTGCTTCTTCACTTTATGCCATTTGGGCTTACGAAAGGTTTCATAGGAACACTACTTTCGGATACAGGGGAATACCTATATATGAAATTAAAACCAGGAAAATCAGACAGAATGTCTGGCAAGTCGTATAGTCATAGAGCATGAAAACAAATGGTCCTAGTTACTAAGTAACTCTGAAGATTTTACCACTGATAAGAGGTGTTTCTGTTTGTTTAAAGACAAGCACTGGAAAAGTATTCGGCGCAATTGCTTCCTTTGAAAATGACGTGGAAATAACATTATACAAACATGGAGGATTATTAAACTTTGTGGCACGAAAATTCTCATAGTATCTACTTACCATCAAGACCTTTCATGACTTAAAAGGGCAAGGCTATTTGTCCTTACATGGAGTTGCAGCCAGTCCCAGTATGCTCACCTATCTCATCCCTGGATGTAAATGATTGCGAATCAACGTAGTAACTGAAATGAAATCTTCCTGATTTTAAATAATATACGAATGGTGCTATTAACATTGCTAAAATCAATGTGTGAAGTGTGTTGTGGAAGAGACCTGTAAGTATGGGGGGGGGAATATTTTATCACACCATTTTGTAAATAAAGGCAGAATTTGAATTTGTGTTGAAGATTCTTATATGAATAACTTTCCTGAAATTGTTTTAGTTTTGCACCTATAAAACTGTGTACTACTGTTTTTTTTTTTTTTTGGTTTAGGAGTAGCGGATTGAAGTATAAAAAGCCAGATTAGACTCTAAATTGTAGAAGTTGGAAATTGATTTATAAATGGACTTTTCAGATAGATTTATTTCTTCTCAGAATTGAGCTGGACCCAGTTGGCATTCTTAGTTTGTAATATAAACCAGGAATATAACCTGCCCCAGACCACAATCATTTGTCCAGTCCAGCCAAGGTTTCCTCCATGTCTGAAGATGGCCCAGTACAAAGTACCATTGATTGTGTAGCACCAATGTACTGACAGTGGTACATATCACATATATAGCCCTTGATTTTTTTTTTCAGTAATTTGTTACTGTGACACTCTGGTAAGTCTCAGGTGGCATTATATTACTTGGATTAGATTATTTTGTTCACTCTTTTGCTCACCTTATGTGATGCTGTAACTTCTTATAGCATCCTTTAGGTATCATTAACCAGAATTTCATACTCATTTTACATTTGCTAAAGAAAACATTAATCATTAAACTCTAAAATGATTTCCTCTAGACTTTTAAATTACCCACTCTAAATTATATGATTGCTCAGCTGTAAGCATTTTTTAGATTTTGATTATTTGTTAATTATTTAGATTGATTTCCTGTTATTTTGAGTCCTTATTTTACCTATGCTGCATGATTCTCTTAATCATGTTACAGTTATAACCAGAGCTGGCCTTCAGGATAAAACATTTAAGTTGTTGATGCCTGAGTACCGTATTTTCTTAATGTGCATGTCTGTTCACCGCATTGAATGTTCTGTCACAAGAAGTTCAGCAACTTAAGATTGGATAATTAATTCCAGAAGGTTCTGTACCTTCTTTTAATTAAGAAATTAAACTTAGCAGATAAAAGGTTAATTGTAGTGGGTTTTTTTTTTTCACATGGAGTTATCTTTATATGAACTAGTTACTGTAATTCAGAATTAGCTCACATTGCACAGAATAAAGAATTATTTCTTTTAACTGAAGTGCTGAAACTACCAAACCAGTGGATGAAGTCCACTGAGAAGTTTGCACATAATCAGTCATACAATCTTTTGAAAGTATTTTGCAAATATATGTTCAGACAATAAGATGGACTGGAATTTGACAAAACTATTTCCCTTTTTTAAAATTTTTTACAAATATTTTCTGTGTTCTTGCCATTTTATTGTGCTACTGTGTATGTATCTGTCTCTCCAAGTATTTTTTATTTACGTGAAAACAAGAGTTAGGGATGGAGAATTTACAAGTTGAATGTTAAAATAACCTGTTAAATGCTTTGTAGAAATGCTAATTCCAGATTGTGTTGGGAGGAAAAAATCTGTATTATTTTGAAACCGTACTTACTATGTATCATCAGAGGCATGAGCATCATCATAAACAGCCAATCCAGGAGATGAACTAATGAGAACAGGGAGCTGCGGATTAAGTATTTCTATTTCCAGGCTACCTAACCCACTTGAAATCATTAGCAATGTTGCATTTCAAGAACAAAATAAAGGTTCTCTTAATTTCATGCTTATATACAATTAATCAATAGCTTGAACAGCATGGTTCTCAGTTTGGGAGGAGAATCATAGATGTATGCCCCAGTGTGTGTACATTATTAGTCTGCTTCTAGCCAAGTTCTGTGTTTGCAAAACCACAGCATACATTGGTTTGTATTGTGTTGCTTATCTCCTTTGTTGACTGTAGCAGAATAATTTTGTGTCACAAAAAAAAAAAAAAAACCTCAAATACTGTGAAAAGGAAGTATAAGAGGCACATTAAGAGAAGCAGGATCAGTGTTGAAAACTTCAAAGTCTAATTTCAAAAGTCATTATCAATGGCTTTTTTTTTTTTTCTTTTAAAAAACAATGCTATATAATACCATGCCAAATGTCGTGCCTTTGAGTTTTGGTACTCCTATAAAATGAAATCTGAAACTGTCACCCAGCCACTGAGTTGCTATGATTATACCTAAAATGTTTCCAAGATGACAGTTGTTATTTTCTATATCCAAGCTCACACTTGAGTCAGCTATCAGCATCTCTTTAGCTAGAGTGCTGTTCTTTACTAGTAAGCAAACTGCAGTGGAAATCAAAGGAAAGCAGAGACCTAAGTCATAGTTATTTGCATATATGGTCATGGGGTTGTACATTCTCAATGATGAGTGACAAGATAAGGGGAAATTACTTGACTGACATTTTGCTATGACTGAACTAAAAGATACTTTCCTTTTGCTTTTAGATTTAGGAGAAGGTTCTAAGGTACTGGATGTTGACCCTATCTTAATTTCATTTGGAGTAACAAAAGAGAGGGGAAGAGGATGAACTTAGGCGTTTTCCATATTTTCTTTCCTAAAGTGTGATAGCACCGATACTTCTATAAATTTTACACATAATATGTGGCTTTTGAAACCATATTATCTCACTTAACTACAAATCATTACTATTTAAAGCCAACAAAACAGTGTAACAGTTTTAAGTTCAATAATGTTAAGTGTTGTATAGAAATATATTGGAGGCAAAGTTCAGTTGATGACCATTGTGTATATGTTACTGATGCTGTAAATTATTTTTAATAAAGAAAATTGTATTATCACATATTTGATTCTTATTATAAAATATTTTGTGGTAATTGAAAATAAAACACTATAACTGAAAAGAAATGAGATGTCATCTAGAAGTTTCTCTTCATACATGTTATCCAAATGTTCAAACATTAACTATCCCCAGTATCACCTGCTAAAATTTGGGCTGTGTTCATTCTCATCACTATATCTAACAGTTCCATTCTACTCCAGGACCAGTAAGAATTAAATCCAAGCCAAAAGCTTGAATAGGAATAGCCCTGAGGAAGTAATCATTAAAAAAAAAAAACTCAATTCAAAGGTTTTAGATTCATGGAATCACATGTCAGAGTTGAAAAGGCAAGGCAGGATCCCTTCTACAAATAATATCTAATTGGGCAGATTTGCTTAAACATTCAGGAGATGGATACTAAAGTTTTGTTGGTTAAATAGTCTATTTTGATCATTAACAAAAAGGGGCTTGGGGGAACCAGGTTTGTTGGTCAGGTCTGGAATTGAACCCACTCCTGTGGCTTCCAGCCAAACAAAAGACAGGCATATAAGCTGAACATTTACATTAGGCAGATACACTCCTTGAAGACAAAAATCATGGGAGAATAGAAGGGCTGTCTGTGTATGCACAGGGAGACAGCTTAGGGAGCAGGAGTGCATGGGAGGGAAGGACACAGGGAAGAGGTAACTATGGGGAGGAAGTGGGAGAGGAGCTGCTGTATGTGGGAAATTGCAGTGAGTGTCATGAGACAGTATGTGTGAGCTGCTGTATGGAAAGTGAATTTGCTCTATAAACTTTTACTCACATCACAATTTAAAAAAACACATATTTTGAGCTGAAATTTTCCCCCTCCAACCTTACACCCACTGATTCTGGCTCTCCCTAATCTATCTCTTCAAACACTTTTTGTACCACTAAGCCACTCCTCAGAAGGAAGGTTGGGCAATCCTACTCCGTAGTGATACTGCCTTGGAAACCCAAGGAGGGGTCGCTATGAGTCGGGGCCGACTCGACGGCAAACAACAACAACAAGCACTAAATAGGAGTTCTGGTGGCATAGTGCCTAAGGCATTTGATTGCTAACCAGAAGTCTGGCGGTTCAAACCCACCAGCCACTCCTCAGAAGGAAGACTGGGCAATCTACTTACATAGTGAAAACCCAAGGAGGGGTCGCTATGAATCAGATCCGACTCGAGGGCAGTTAGTTTGGCTTTTTTGGTTAAGCACTAAATACATATTTAATGAGGAAGTGGACCCTCCACAAATTGCACTGCACAAACCCCCCATATTATAGAACTTTTATTATATTAGTAATTTGTGTTAGAGCAAGCATTTAGGAAAGAATTAGAGGTCTCACACTATTTGTGAGTTATATATCACAGGAGGAAATGGCCTTAATACAGGATGAAGCGCATTTTTATTCATTAACTTTGATGCTTTAGAACGAACTGAAGGCCCTTCAGCCTCTGCTGCTGTTCTCTAGTGATCCAGTTAAGTAAATTTGTCTGGGTTGACCTGTACCCTAAAGTAATATTTTGTAAATATGATCAGCTCACTGATCAAAAAACAAGCCCTTTATTTTATTCATAAATAGTAATTCAAGTGATTAAGGCATATTTATAAAATTTTAACTATAAATATATATTTGTATATTATATATGTAATATAAAAATTATATTTTATATAATATAAAAATTACAGAATTCATTCTCCTAAGAAGTTTACATCACAAAGACTAATACCAACACATGCACATGCTGATAGTTTGCATATCCAGAGTTTCTGAGGAAACTTGAAAGTTTCTGAGGTGACACTTGAGCAGAAACCTGAATGATGTGAGAAAGGCATGTAAAGGTGCATAGGAAGAACTTCCTAGGCAGAGAAAAGCAAATACAAAGGCCTTGAGACAGGAATAACCTTCCTGTGTTCAAGGAACAAGAAGAAGGCCAGTACAGCTGGAGTAGACAGAAAAGGTGGCAGATGAGTTTGGAGAAGTAGTTGAGCCAGATTGTTTAAAGCCTTGGGGCTATAGTATGGATTTAGGTTTTATTTTAAGTGTGATGGAAAGCCAAAGGTGGGAGTTAAGCAGAAGTACAATGGCAAACTATCAGATAAGATGATAAAAGATGGCAGCTTGTATGCTACAGCTGATAGCATGTGAAGAGCAAAATGCTTGGATTGAGAATACATTTTAAAGAGCAA